AATGTGTTGATTTTAATATATACAACTTGACATAATTGTGAAATTTGATATCAAGAACTTGTGACGAGTCAGACTCGTCATTGTACGATAAAGGGTTAATAAGGGTGGACATCTGATTTATCCAATTAATGATCTTAAGATCTCCCAATGAAACACTGCAAATCTCAGAAATCTATTTGTATTTTTCTCTGCTCGTAACTCCAAGGTATTCAATATATATTTAAATAAATGTATAGTATAAGAATTTTCCGGTTATTATATGTGATTGGAGAAATAATTTTTATACAATCGTGAGTAATTAGTTTGTATGATTAATGGAACAACTGTACAATAAAATAAATTCAGAGCAAACGGAGCGCGATGCTACGTACCCCACCCATAACATGTCCGCTATAGCGTTGATCGCTAACGATCCAAATTGTAGACTTTAATTGGGATAAAATTAATTAATATTCCAATCGATTCGAGAGATTTCTGCGTTTGAAATATTTTATCAATCCAAAACATTTCCGTTTATGTTTCTCGTCGAAGTTGGCTTAAAAATGTATTTCGAACGTGAACAAATATTTAGAATAAAGACATTGGAATACAAATTAATTTTTAAGAATAGGATTTCGGGAGAATTGCAAAACAATTTTTGCGTTCAACGGTATAATGGAGTGGTCGTCACGACTCGTTATTTATAGGGAGTTCGACCCCATCTTTAATATCCTAGAAGGGTGAGTCAACGAAGCCCCAAAAAATAAAACGAACAACGTTATATAACAGAAACTGTTAAAATAATGTTAATTAAGCAAAGTATTGTTACTCCTGTATCATGATCGCGGCGATCTACAGCAGCGAATAGGGACAGCATGCAATTTTAGTTTCAATTCGAAACGCGACGCGCACCAGAAACATTTGAATATGATGAACTACAAATTGGATCAATGCCAAGAATTATATGTGTCTCTGGGTTTAATGAACACGCGTTGGTACAGAGGTAGCTAAAATAAGGAGAGTTCATCTAAACAAAGACTTGGATCAACCAACATAAGATCAAAATTCTCTTCAATTGCACAATTAATCAACAAAAAATCAACACAACGTGTTTGCAATTGCATTTTCTTGATCACGTTGAGATCGTTTCCTCTGAGAAACGGCGTTTCGTGGTGTAGGTAATCGCGTAGCGTCGGAATCGATCCATCAAACGGGGAAAAAGCCTGTAGATCCTGTTTGCCCCAACTTTGCGCGGCGAAACCATATCAATTACGCGGCGCATCGCCGGAAGGAAGCGTCGTAATAACTTTTAGCTTCTCGGAGCGTCGTAAAGATTAAAAAGAGGGGAGAGGGTCAAGGTGAGATAAAGCAAAGTTGATGGCGGACCTAAATCCTCGCCGGTGGATCTCGATTGGCCGACGGTAGGAATGGAAAAAGCGCGGCTGGATCGCGTGCCCCGTGGGTCGGCGCAACATCCAGCATCGTTAATTTGAATTATTATTGGCCGCGGATACGCGATACGGCGCGGCTCGCGGCAATTATTACGAGGAAACGCGCGAGACCGAGCGCATAATAGAATCGCGAGCCACGAGATATGGCACCGAGCGGAGATACGCTTTTCGATGCTTGCCGCGGGGCGAAAATTCAAGATTAATCCCGGCCAGGAACGAGCGAAATTTTCATTCGGATAACTATGTCGAACAACGAATAAATAATACAAAATTCCTTGAATAAAACAAAAGATTTCGCAACGGACGAGTAAAACTTATTTGTTGTCACCCATTCGTCGAAATAAATTATATGCAATTTTATCGTCAAAGAATCTGAATTACTTTACTCGAACTTAATTTCTATTTTCAAATTAGTCTCATCTCAAACCTTTTCATACACACATCTTTCTAGTGATTCTGTCCTAAGTGTAGGTTTTCCAATAATAAAGACTTTTTGGAGAAATTTGTACAGAAAACCAAGGAGAGCAGTATAATTTTCTTGCACGCTGTTGCGGAGGTACCGAAAGCTACGCGTTGCTAACTCAAACCACTTTGGAGCTATGAAGAGAAATACGGGAGTGTGTGACACATGTCACCCACGCAACTAACGAAGGGTTAACTGTTCGATCAATAAACGTGAGGAATACGTTGCTGTATGTTTGCCTTATTGGTTATCTATTAGTTGAATGAAACTTTGTTCGTCTCTGTTCTTGACACGTGGGAAATTGGTGCTAACTAGGGGCCAGCAAGGCACCTAACAAGAACTCTGGGTGCAAATCTAATTTATCAATAAGGTTTCGCACGGTTTGAAATACTGTAGCCAGAGACAAGTTTTATGGTTGTACGACTGACAGTTTACTGTCATTGGGAATGTTGTGAAACGTCAAATACACCACTGAACTTTTCACACTATGATTCGAGCAAAAATTCAGAGTATATAATCGAAGCAAATCAATGTATGCACATGTATGCATGAAAAGATTCACAATTACATATAATCAGTATTGATCGTTCGTGATATATTATAGACCATGTCTACTAGAATTTTACTTTCGATGATAACTCTTTCAAACAAACATCTCCAATGAGATGAGACAGCAGAAGGATAGTTCTACCTTTGTTCATCGATCGTTAACATCGACGTTCGATCCGTTTCACCGTTTGGGCGTTTGCTTTTGTTTGCTGTCTCGTCTCGTTGGACAAAGTACAGCGGATTCCAGGCACAAAGAGACCTTCCTTCGCAAGTGACGCGAGAGGAACGAGTTCTTCCGCGCGAAGATCGTCGTTCCGCGTTACGGAGCAAACTTTCTAAACGTCCTCCATGCGTGGCGACGCATTAAATTAACGAGCAGACTTTTCCATTAATAACAGGCCCCACGGACACGTTGACACCAGTTTCAAACGGGACAAACTGTTCGCTGTTGCGCAATCGTTTGACGATTTCTCGCGACAAGCGTTTAACCATTCGCGGACCGGTTCTCTTCGCGCTAATCGGTCGATCGGATTTTAGCGAAAGTATTCGATCAAACGATGAATAAAGGGCGTTGAAAACGAACTGTGAGGAATCGAGCTTAATAAATGGTGCCCCTATTATTCGTAGTTATTAACAGAGAGAGAAGACTTTTATTTTTTTAATCATGTTAATCTTTAAATGCAATTCAGCATTGAATTTTGTAAACACTACTTTCGAGAGGTTGAAGAACTACGAAGACTCACGAATGTTCAAGGAGAAAGGTTGCTCGGTGGAGGTACCGAGATCATTTCAAGATCATTTACATTTTTTTTGTATGATACATATTTTTTCCACCGATTCATGGAGCATAACGATACGAATTCAACCATATCGTGTGTTCGTATGATTTTGTTGGATAATTTGTAAATACAAGGAAACTACACTGAGCTATTCTTAACTGCAATGCATTTTTTAATAAAAGAATTTTTTAAAATGACGTTCTAAAATTTTTTCCTAATTCTTTATTCGTATCTTAAGAATTTTTTGAGCAACAGTTAAAAACTGTGCCTTTAAAGTATATGTATAATAAAAATCCAGGGCTATTAGATCTGAAAATTTAAGAAATTGTTTCATAGAACCTTTACGACCGGTCCAACGATAATCGATTTAATGCTCTCGTGTTTTAAAAAGACACGTGGTCAGAAAACATGTATATGACATAGGAGAAAAAAAGATGGATCGCGTAACATGGTTCTCTGGATCACCTGACAGAAGTGCAGTTGCCGATTAGACGCATACAAAATATGATATGGTTGAACTCGTATCGTTGTCCTTTATGAACCTGTGAAAAAAATATACCATGTGTCGCGTAAAAAAACTGTAAGTAGCCTTGAGATGACCTTGACACCGCTATACATCGATCCTTCTCCTTCGAAATTCTTTAATTTCTCAAGTTGGAGTAACATTTTGGACCTGGTTGAAATTTTAAGATATTATAACAGGGTTAATTATAAAAATATAATTAATTCTTATTAATATCGTAATTATAATCTTAGGTTTATACGAATTACATCTACCGATCAAGACCTAAAAGATAGGGTTGAGAGCTATAATAAAACGTTCATGAACTCGATTAACCATCCAGCAGAAAAATAAAACGGTCATAAATTTCGTTGACCAAACTTTCTCGGCGTAGAACCAATTGGAACTAAATGCAATGTCCAGACAGTCTGGACGCAGGACCGCAAAGGGTTAATAATAATGCAACCCTTTCGCTGGATACTCGACGCTAATTGTGGTTCCCTTGTACGATTTACGATTTAAAATTTTTACATCAGTTCGTTCGAGAAATTCGATTCTCGAGCTCCGAATTTACGATCCAACTAGCCGTATTTATACGTATATAAATATTTATCGCTATAATAATGAATATTTATACACGGTACGGTATTTCAATTTCCAACCAATTAGAGAAGAATATTGCTAAACACAAGCTTCTCTCATAGAAATGGAGTAATTTCACATAACTGAATTACAAGTTATATTTATATAGCAATGACTAAAGTTAAACTTCCGTCAAAAAAAAAGACTGCTATATTAAAACGTACTAACAATTTTGGAGAAATTTCAAAAATGAATTTGAATATTCAGACATTGGTGATTTGTTCCATAAGAATTTAAATAACATTGAATGTTTATAATTATAAAAAAATGGTGATTTGTTCATTAAGAATTTAAATAATATTGAATTTCTATAATTATAAAAAAATGTAATATAGATTGTTCATATCCTATAAAATGCTCGATATCAATTATCTTGTCGGTAAAACATTACCCGTCTAATATTATTAAAAACAAAAATGGAGTATTTGAATAACGCATACTATTTTTTATATCTGCCAAGTTAAATTATACGTAACAAAATCGAGCATGGAAATTAGTCAAGTTTTGTACGTTTTCGAGCATATTACTCAACTTCTCAGACAGTAATTAGGAAACTGCATACTCGGTTCGATAATTAGTATACAGAAAGAGGTGAAAATCGCGTGTAAGCGGCAACAGCCACGCGAATCACGTACCATGCCCTCGTCTATCGAGGTGTCTTCCTCGAAGTAGCACTCGTCGGTCTCATCCGGTGTCAGAACGGTAGGAGTTTCCGGTGACTCCTCCTTCATGTCCTGCCGCCTCATCCAGTCCATGTCGAAGTCCCTGGGAGCCGGTGGGCCCGCCGACGAGATAATGCGTGGCCCGTGCGTAGCGTGTTACCTCGCTGGGTCCCCGCGGGGTATCACATGTCTCGCGTTCGATCGCAAAACGCGCGACCAAAGGACCGCGGCGGGACAAATCCGCGGACAGTGAGTCGGCGGGCACTGAAATCCACGGTCCTTTTTCTTATCGTTTATCGCGAGCCGTGCTCCGACTACGCGGAAGCCACTCCGCCGCCGGCAGCCGCTGACATTTGCGAAATGTCAAACCTTTTTCTGGCCGTCCCGGTTGTAATATCGCGCTAACGAGACGACGGGGTTTGCTCTCAAGATCGAAGCCTCCGATATTGCGCGCGACCGGCGCTCGGATGCACGTGCACGTACGCCGGTGGCGCGGTTCGATAAGGGCGGAAAAGAGGGGAAGGAAGCACCGTGTCTCACCGACCGATCACCACCGATAGAAAACGCTTCGAGATCGCGGGGTGCCCGGGTCCTCGTAGGCGTCGACCGTTTTCCGCGTCCAGATCCCGTGAACGTCGCGTTTCGTTTCGAGACGAACTGCTCGCCTCGCGTTCGACGCACAGGGTGAAACTGGTTCTCCTCGACACGACACACTCCGATCGAGGGTAAAATTCACACGCGACACGCTTCGATATCCAAGGGAAGAGAGGCCGCCGCGTCGTTAAAAGCGTACCGGCGAGATGATTGCGACCGAGAGACGGACGCGCGCGCAGTCTCGCGTGTGCACACGAGCGAGCCACGGCGGCGGTGCAGCTGCAACTGTGTGTGCAGGCCGGGAATGCTGGAGGTGGTATGGAGGCGGCTCGGTGGGCGCGCTCTGTCTCGTCTCTACTGCCGTCTCTTCTCGCTGTCTCGCCACCGGAACCGCTCGTCTCCTCTCTCCCTCTCTTTTTGAACAGTCGTGCTTTCTCGTTCGCCCTCGTGAACGCCACGAGTCTCGTCACTCTCGCTCTTATCCGTCTCTCTCGCGCGTATCGTTCCTTCCCCCTCTCTCGCGGTCGCTCGTTGTGGCAGCGCTGTGCGCTCGTCGTCCTTTTCCAGCGATTCGTCACTCGTTACGTTCATCTTTCTCTCGTTTAAGCTCCCTTCTCCCTTTAATTTCTTCCTTCTCCTCCTCTATCGCGCGTCCGTTCGTCGCGCCCTCTCTTTTCCCACACGCAACTCTATCGCCGTAGCCCTTCGCGCCATCTTCCTCCCTCCCTTTGTGGGCTACGTTTCTGTTTCTTTTATCAGCCAGCTCTAACGTTCTCCTCCGTCCTTCTTTCCCTCGGACTCACTTTCTCTCCTGCTGCTCACGCTATCCTCGTTAGATCTCCTGCTCGACTCTGTTTCTCTCGACTTCCTCCTTTCTTCGACGCTATTCCGCCACGCTTCTGCTTGACCTCCCGGTGTGTTCCTTCCTTCTCCGTATTTCCCGACCACCTCCGTCGTGATTTCTCTTTCACGGTACGCCGGAAAACGGCGAACGTCGCGGTTCGAAACAAGAGAAAAGATTCGTAACGAGGGTGGCCAGAAACAACCTTCTCTTTCCCTGCCTCGTGCTGTCTCTCTCCAAGAGCAGCATCCCTATTCCGTTTCTCTCCCTCCCCCTCTTGTCCTTCGTACTCCCCCACCAGCGATCCTCCGTCTCTGTCCGACACGCTGCGTCCTCCCTCTCCCCAGTTCCCTGACCCCTTCCCTTTTGCGTGGAGTCACTACGAGTTCAGGGACGATCCGTTTTCAGTCGAGACCCTGGATCTAACGCCCCGAGGGATCCCAAAAATAGCGACTTTCTTCGTGCCGGGGATTTCGTCGTTATATGTTTACGAGCGGGATCCGATACGGATACATCTTTCGAAACAAATTGTCGATAAGGGCCCACGGAAAAATTGACCTCGCGATAAGAACGCTATGGGAAACGAGAGGCTGCATCGCAGCAAAAAGTCACGGAGCGTTGGGAATTCCATCGGTTTATGCATTACGTCGCCTTAATTGCTCTTGTCTTCTTACCCCTTTGTGCCCACCCTAACGCTTTTGATGCACACCGAGACAATTATCCTATTATCAGAATACCAATTGTGTTTCCTTTTTATAAATTATTCTTTACAGCTGATACACGCTACAGGGGCGAATCTAAGGGGAGGAACACCCCTTCGTGGTTTACAAATATTTGGGTAAAAGAATCTTTAAAATGAAATATATTTCTTGTTTGCAATCCCTTTATATTTAGGACAAAACGGAGTTAACCTTGTTCGTGAAAAATAAATAGGTAATGGTAGGCAGTGCACGTCACAGACCGGTTTGGAAAATCGATAATTCGGACCACCCTGTAAATTCGTGAAACATTACGTAAGCCACGTCCCCGTAAATCATACTGAATCGCAACGAACCAGTGTACTACATCCCTGAGCTCGGTCCCACCGTGGAGGAAAGAGGACCGAGGAAAATGGCAAGTATGCCACGATAAGAATGACAAGGAGGGGAAGAACGAACCCGATGCTAGGGCACGGACACTTGGAGAGGCGAAATACCTTAGAAGAAGATGGGCATAATTCACGGGAGGAAGAGGAATGACCCGCAGTGTCGTAACTAGTAATTCGAAACCGCGATGGTGTACGTAATTCAATTTTAACCAAGTAATCTTAACAACCACGTTCAAATAAATTGTTCGTCGACTATCTTTTTCTCATTATTCGGGAAAACATCAAGAAACGAATACGAAAGATTCATTTCCTATTGTGCTCAAAATGATATGCAACGATGAGAAGCCCGTTTCGATGATTGTATACGCCTCTAATTTATGATACCTTTGTGAGCACCTATCTTCAATCCTCGACCGACTTTGTGTAAATTCTTGAATAATTTATTATTCCTAGAAAGTGTTGGCTAATCAGAAGTTTAGATCCTAGAAAATGGTACGGAGAATCGTATCCCTAAATTCTTTTCGTTCAATCTCTCGAGTTTCGTTCTTCTAGAGGCTCTGGATGCATCCGGATGGCATGCAGCGCCATCAATGGGCACGGCACTGGCGCGAACCACGATAGAAAGGGACGGACGATGGGTGAGACACGTGATGCTGGAACCGTGTGTTAGTCATGGGTTGCCCATGGCAACCCACGCGGCTAATGTACGCGGTACGGGCCGCTCGTTCAGGACAACGTTGCTATATACTATATACGTGCGGGAGAGCGTACGTAACTCCGTGGGTTGTACTACGCTTACTACTACGCCTGTGCACAATGGAAAATGGGAGGTCAGGTTCGTGTGCGTCCACACACGTGGCCGAGTTAATTGATTTCGCCTCCGTTCGTTGCCACGATGTTGCCATTCGATCGGAGCAGCCAACGACACCGCGTTATCGTCGGTCTGCGTCGCGACGCGACATCGCGGCAACCGAATGGGAATCTTCAGGGAGGAATGCGCGGGCCGATGCAATCGTCGGATGAAACAGTAATATCGAATGCGCCATCGGCCATGGAAAACGACGCCCGCATTTTCCTCGTTTTTTCAATCTCTAGGAATATTATTATCGACCAGGGATCACCGAATACAAATGTGAAACTTTTTATCTGCTATTACTTAAGTTGCCTTTCTACTTTGTGGGATTAAAAAATACGAATTTTTTTTGCATTGTCTTTTAGTATGTAGTCTTGAAATGATATCTACCAAATATTAAATTGAAATTCGGAAAACTAACGAAGTTATAGCCTGCTGTAATGTACCACGCGCAGGTATACAGGGTGTTCGGCCACCTCTGGGAAAAATTTTAATGAGTGATTCCAGAGGCCAAAATAAGATGAAAATCAAGAATACCAATTTGTTGATGGAGGCTTCGTTAAAAAGTTATTAACGTTTAGAGCTCCGCCCGCACTGAATTTTTTTCTCGAAACTGCACAGGATTTCGGGAGTATGTCTATTCACCAACAATGATTGTAATTGACCCTCGCAACCGAAAATAATTTTTCCAAAACAATTTGAAATTATTTTTTTCCATCGATAAATTTCACACCTTCTCGAATTTTTTTCTAGAAAATGGGTAAGATTTTGGGGGTACGTAAAATGACCAAAAATGATTGTAATTGACCCCCGCAACCGACAATAATTTTTTCAGAACGATTTGAAATTTCTTTGCGCCGAAAAATTTAGGCACCTAATTAGATTTTCGGTAAGGAATTTTTTTCTCGAAAATGCGTAGGATTTCGAGGGTATGTGTAATGACCAAAAATGATTATAATTGACCCCTCTAACTAAATATAATTTTTGTAGTGTGATTTTAAATATTTTAATTTCATCTACAAATTTCAGTACCTACTCGAATTTTTTTCTCGAAAGCGGGTAGGATTTCGGAGGTATGTTTATTCACCAAAAATGATAGTAATTAACCTCCGCAATCGAAAATAATTTTTCCAGAGCGATTTGAAATTTTTGAATTTAATTGTTAATAACTTGTTAACGAAGCCTCCATCAACAAATTGGTATTCTTGATTTTCATCTTATTTCGGCCTCTAGAATACCCCATTCAAATTTTTCCCAGGGGTAGCCGAACAGCCTGTATATAACTGGACGTAAAACTTTAAGTTGCCTTTCTACTTAGTGGGATTAAAAAATTCGAATTTTTTTTTGCATTGTCTTTTAGTATGCAGTCTCGAAAATATATCTAATAAATGACAACAATCTATTCAATCGTAGACAAATAATAATCTATGTCGCTAATGGCTTCGTTGTCGATGCAACGTTAAGCTTTAAATTAAAAAAATAAAAAACAAATATTATACAGCTGAAATACGTAATTCGAAAATTACAAGCAAACGTTTAAAGTAATTATACGTCGCTGTAACGAACATGGAGCAATGTATTTATCAGCATAATTAACTCGATGTCGTTACATTCGCGCAAATATTGTCGCTCTACCCGTAACTAGCGTCACTGACTGACGATTACAATCAATTTCGACGGGCAAATTGTGCCGCAGCGTGCCTCGACATCGCCGCAGAATTCGTCGAATGCAATCACCGCCGAGTCACGAATAATTCTCCCTGCGGTCGCAGTATCGAGTTTGCATTCGATCGTAGCGCTCGAAGAATTCGGCTAGCCGGCAAGGAGGATGCAGTTGCACCGGTTCGTTGCATTCAGGCGCAATCACGCCGTGTGCACCAATTAAGAGCGCCCCACGCCGTAATCTGAGATACCCCGATGCATGCAAATGCATTCTACGGTGCACGCCACGGCCGTAGCTGGACGGCGGACGATCGTTATCGTTTGATTATCGGTCGTTGGTAATAGCGGTTTTCCAAGATCCGTGTCAGGAAGAAACTACTGATAATTTACCCCTCCGCCGGTTCGAGGATGCGATTACCATACTCCTGATTGCGTAATGCACTTATCGTGGACATGGTCGGAAATGCATTCTCAAAATTCGAAGAAACGGTCTCTCTCGATTGTACGTTCCCGACATTGTTGAATTTCGCGACGAGATTCACTTTTAACTCTTAACCCTTTGCTCTATAACCACGCGTGAGATTCGTGGTCAGGTGTTCGTGTAAACACTACGTACCACCGTGGAATGGCTCGAAGGCTCGGGCAGTTTTGTTTAAATTTCGGGCTCAAGAGGTTAAAGATCGATAATATATCTCCTAAACGAGACGTTGGCGTATTTTGTGCTGCATTTAAATCCGAAACACTGCGTTAATACAATGAGGTACCGCGTACCGATGTCGATACCATA